GACGGACCGGGGCCGCTACCTCTACTGGGTTGACGCCGCGCTGGGCACGCTGAACTGGGCGTCGTTGCCCGAGGGCGCGTACACTGGCGCACGGTTGGCCGCCTGGATCAGCTCCAACTTTGCCACCGCCACCTATAGCGAGACCACAAACAGTCTGAGCGTTGCCTACGACGGCAACCGGCTCATCCTGAACGACCTGGAGCTGCGCCAGCAATTCCCTGATGCCGCGGACTACCCTGCTGCGCCGCTCCCACCAAGCCCTTCAGCGTGGACCACATGCTGGGCCCGAGCTTTGTCTCCGGCGGGCAGCAGGTCTTTGAGTTCGTCCGCATGATGGCGCACAACGAGGTCTACCTGCGCTGCGCCCAGCTGGCCAACGCCAGCAGAGTGCTGGGCAACCTGGGCGACGACATCCTCTCCAAGATCACTCTGAAGAGCGGAGTGGGCACCATTGTGGAGACGGGCTCAGACGACGGGCACTTCATGGCCCTCAGGGGCCCGGTTACCCTGAGGCACATGCGCTTCCGCCTGACCGACCTGGACGGCAACGTCGTCCGGCTTCGCGGGTCGTCTTTGTCGTTCGTGTTATATCTTGACCACGTATAATTAAATGGAGCCGACCGAACACGAGGCGCCGGAGGCGCAAGAGGTGCAAGAGGCGCAAGAGGTGCACGCTGCGCCACACGCTGCGCCGGCTGCGCCGGAACCGAAACGGCGGGGCAGGCCCCCTGGGAGCAAGAACAAACCGAAGCAGGACGCGCCTATTGAGCCGGCTGCTCCAAAAGCCGCCTCCACTTGAGACGCCGGCGGAGGCACCACCAGCAGAGGCACCGGCGGAGGCACCACCGGCTGAGGCACCACCGGAGGCGCCTCAGCTCACAAGAGAGCAGCAGCGCGCCCTGCGCATGCTGGAGAGGCAGTCGGCTTAGACCGGCTGACCACAGGCGCAAGTGTACTGGTATAAAAGCATGATGTCCACAGAGCCCCGCAACGAGCCGCGGATGCTCCGGTGGTCCGCAAGACGTACCCCAGTTACAACTTGCAACCGCTGCTGCTGAAGCGCTACCGAGGAGGAGGCGCGGGCCTTCAACAATTGGCGAGTGCAGGCAGGCGCAAAAGGGGCAGCGGCACTTGGACGACGTGAGCCGGCTGACGGAGGCCGTGCACCGCCAGGTACCCCAGCTGCGCTACGCGTGGGCCGAGCGCCGGGGCGTGGAACGGGCGGCGGACGAAGTTGCGCAACGGTAAAGAGATGGGTCAGGGGCCGCCCTCCATCACGGACCGTCTGCACAGCACTGCAGACGGCGCTCAGGCGGCAGCGGACCTCATAGGCGCAGGGGCCGCAGGGCTCGCAGCCGCGCAGGCCTTCCGCTCTCAGCTGCCCCAGGACGCAGCTGAGTACGTGCGCCTGAACGTGCTGCCCCGTCCGGGCCCGGCGCAGCCGCCTCCGCAGATCATAGGCCGGCCCAGTGACGTGGAGCGCCTCCTGGATGAGGCGGGGCAGCGCGCGCAGGCGTGGCGCGGCGCAGGCCGTTGAGGAGACGGCGGCCGTGGCTGCGGAGGAGGGCGAGGTTGCCGAAGGCGTTGCCGTTGCCGCCGAGGGCGTGGGCGGAGCCTTTGGGTACCTGGCGGGCCTGGCAGAAGGACCAGCAGCCCTGGCGCCCACCGCGGGCGAGGTTGCTGGAACGTTGGCTGGCGCGGCGGGAGTTGGGCCACTCAGCCTCAGCACTTCACGCTGCGCTCAGGCAGCAGCACGTCCGGCAGCCCCGCAAGCAGCCTCCTCGCAGTCCGGCTTCCCCCCCCTTCTCCTGGGGCCTGAACCCCGTGGCCCTGCCCCAGTCCCAGAGCTCGCGGGCGAGCTCCAGTTCCGGGCAGTCACGCTGGAGCCTGCCTCCGCCCAGCTTTGACCAGCTGCGTAAAACACTCCTCCTCGGTTGGACGGTTTTTGCACGTTTTGCGCTGCAAAATACTATTCTTCCAGGGCCTACGCAAATGTAGGAATACCATTTTTTGCACGATTTTGGGCTACAAAATGCTATTAGTCCAGTGCCTACATCAATGTAGGCCCTGGAGTAATAGCTCGTTTTGCACGGTTTTTCGCTGAAAAAATGCTATTAGTCTCGTCCGTATGTGTATATACGGACGAGACTAATAGCATTTGCACGGCTTTTGCGCTACAAAACGCTATTCCTCCAGTGCCTACATTGATGTAGGCACTGGAGGAATAGCTTTTTCCTTCGCCGTACGAGTCAAAATGCGTGTATATAAACAAGCATGGAGGTAGTCACCGCCGGAGCCCAGGATGAGCTGATGCAGAGCCTGGACCACAAGCTGAAAACAAGCAACACCAGCTACGTGACGGCGCGGCATGACGTGCAGTACTTCCCAGCTCGCTGAGCTCGTTCTCCCCCACAACCTCTCGGGTCTGCCGCATCCCGCTCACCAGCGGCACGTCCTTCATCGACCCCGAGTCCATCAAGATCGCCTTCCGCGTCAGGAACACGGACAGCACCAACCCGCTGGCCCAGCCACGCCCAACCCCGCCTGCTTCGTCCAGCGCGTCCAGGTCTTCGCCAACGGCCAGCGCTGCGACGACATCAACTACTACGGCCGCACCGTGGCCGTGCATGACCTGCTGAAGGGCAGAGCAACAAGGCCATGGAGGGTTTCGACGAAGTGAACGATGTTCAGTGGCTTGCCTTGTGAGACCCTGGCATGCCAGGCTACAACCGCAAAGGATCGATGAATGCTGCGAGGACTGATAAAGATAAAAAACCACGGGATGGTGCTCGTTTCCATCCAGCCCTGGGCTGTCAAGTGCCCGCGGATAAGTCTGTAGGTATCTGCCTTGTCTCTGTCACACAAAAGGTATGGTAGCTTCAACGCAATGCTGCATGCTGATCGGATTTCCACGCTTGTTGCTTTGCAGCTAGGAAAGGAAAAATGCAGTTCCAGGAGTGGGCAGGAGGTATTGCACTTGCGGCACGTCATCTTGTGCTGAGTGATTTTGGAACTCGGCTGTACGCGTAGCTTCTGCTCTGCAAAGAGTCGCTTGCACCCTTGCGCATGTCACCTCCACAAAATCAGCCGCAAGCTCGTCAATCCATCCCATCCGTCTGTCGATTCAAAGTCAATGCTGCAACAGGCAAGATCTTCCAGCATCCATTGCGCAATTATGGAGCTTGGGGGAGCAAGCTCGAAAGCCTCAGATGTGTAGCAAGAAAAACAGACTTGCGCATCGAGTTTGTGTGGGGGGGGAATCTTTGTGATCGCAGCTTGTAGATACCGCTTATGCGCGACAGCTCGACAAATAATATGATATTCATGTTTCTGCTGTAGATTCACTGAAGTTAGCACAGGCTCAAACCCCGCACAAGTCATTGCAGGTCCAGAAAACAGTAATGAGCCAAATAGCGAAGCATACATTGCATTGAAGCAGTGCAACCATGAATCAACCCTGCCCCAACCATGAATCAACCCTGCCCGTGCCGGTGTCACATACCTTGTGTTCAACAGCTGTCAGAGGCAGTCCCCAACAAAGATTGCAGCCAAGCGGGCCACATGCTCCGGGCACTTCGTTTTGAAGGTCCGCTTCTCTCTCTTTAGAGGGATGGATTCTATTCTACCTGAAGGCTCCTAGCACGTCCAGCATTTGACCTCGTCCTGCGAAGGATTCGAAGTCTAAAACGCTGCGTGGAGGCGTGCGTGTGGCTGCAAAATAGTGACCCCTAGATATGCTTGCAATTTGGCTCCAGGTTGCATTTCAAGCGAGCCAACCTTTGCAGGGCTAAGAAAAAACAAAAAAAAGAAAACAAGGGGTCCCAAAAAAAGGGGTCCCCAAAAAAAAGGGAAAAGGGGTTTCCTTTGGCAAAGCTTGACATTGCTTGAAATGCAACCTGGAGCCAAATTGCAAGCATATCTAGGGTCACTATTTTGCAGGCACACGTCTCCAGCGTTTTAGACTTCGAATCCTTCGCAGGACGAGGTCAAATGCTGGACGGACGAGTGCTAGGAGCCTCTCAGGTAGAATAGAATCCATTTGGGAACCCCCTCTAAAGAGAAAGATACCGGGAATGCAGGGATTCCCTCCCACTGCGGACAACGCGGACAACCCGCTTTGGCTTTGCTGCGGCACGGTGCCACGTGTGCGCCAAGCACCTCCACTCTCTCCCCCTCCTTGCTACATGTGCTATATGTGCTATACCTTACGCCAAGCGCGGAACCCCCACTCTCCCCCAGCTCCTTGCTGTATGTGCTTATGTGCTGTATATTCTGTACGCGCGAAAATCTGTACTATGGCCTCGAACCAAACTCCGCACGGCGGTTGATCCCCTTGCACGGCGGTGTTTCGCCTTGCCTGCAACGGCGGCTGATCCCCTTGCCTGCGACGGCGGTTCTCGCCTCGCCTGTAACGCGGCGCGAACCCTCAGTCCCCGTCCTGCTTGCTATACGCTTTGTGTGCTGTATGGGTCTGACAAGGCAAGCCACTGAACATCACTCTTCCCGGGTTCCTTGCTATAGGTGCTTTTTGTATATGAGTCTTTAAGGCAAGCAAGCGTCAGCACCGCATTTCATGTGAGGACGCTAGAGCGTCTGGCTGGAAGACCCATAGAGTGCTTGATAGTTTGACAAGTTCCTAAGTGACCAGTCTGCCGAGCAAACTCGTCCACGGCCTGCAGATGTGTAGCAAAAAATAAACAGACTTGCCAAACGCGGCAGCTGTCTGTGCATCGAGTTTGTCTGGGGGGGAGGCTTTGTGATCGCAGCGCCGCGCGCGGCTCGATGGGGGCATGGGAAGTGCGGCTAGTGAGAGCATGTCAAGCGGCTGGCAGCCCCACTGCGTGGCGGCCGAAGAAGACACAAAGCCCGGCGATCGCAGCACGTGAAGAGACTTCGGTCGTTTGTGTCTTGGCCAACGCATTTTTTCCTTTGGAGCCACGGACACTCTGCGCAGAGAGGCTGGCCTTCGGCTTGCCCCGCGGAGAAAAAGCTCTACAGTCTTACGGCCGGCCGCGCCCAGCTAAGTTCTGCCGCAAGGCTTCGGGCTTGAGGTCTTGGGCGCGCTGCGTGGCCAAGAAGTGGCTGCGAGCGTACTCTCTGTAACTTGGCACGCCGTGGCCATGCCCCGCATTGTAAGCCTTCGCGTCCTGATAGTCTTCGCGGCACTCCAGCAGCTGCGCGGCCGTCACTCGGCTCCAGTCCACGCGGCGACGCAACGGCTCGGAAAGCTTCTGGTTCTGCGCCGCTGCTGGCTTCTTCTGCGTGCGCTGGCCTTGCTTTTGCATCGCCTGTCCCCCGCTCGCCGCTGCCCCGGCGACCCCGCCTCTTGTCGCTGGCCGCTTCATCGCAGCTTTACTTTTGCTGGCTGCGAGCAAAAAATGCTGCGGACAGGCAGCAGGCGCGTGGCAATAGACTGCAGAAACTCATGCGAGCAGGCAGCTGCCCGCAGCTTTTCTGCGCGGGCGCGCGGAAGTTCCCCCTTCCACAGGCGCTCATGCGGCTTTGCGCTCTCTGCTCGCGCTGCCTTCTTCTAGCGGGTGTCTCGGGGCTGGCTGGCCTTCGGCCTGCCAGGGCTGGGCTTCCGCTTGCCTGGGCTTCAGGACGGGCAAAATGCGGCCGCCCAGCAGCAGCAGGTCGCCGTGCTTGCCCGCCAGGATGTCGCGCTCCAACTCGCGGCAGTGCTCGTAAAAGCTTTCCCACTGACCCGCTGCGTGTCTCTTTCAGGGTGCCACAGCGTAGAGCCATGAGCGACTTTCCCGAGCTCGACCTCCAAGCGCTCTCGCAAAGAGAGTTGCTGGTGCTCTGCCAAGCCGCGCGGCTTCGACTATTCCGGGGGCATCGCATGCGTGCGGGCAACAGCACGGACGGCTCCCCGAGCAAAGAGAGATTCCTGCTTGTGTGCAACACCATCTGCAAAGACAGGACCTACGTCGTGGTGCACCTGGAGGAAGAGATCTACCGGATGCTCCTGAGAAACATCAGCGCCATGTCGCAGGACCGCGTGGAGTTTCATCGCATGTGTGACGACGTCCGCGCGGAGCTGGACTGGATCGACCCTGTGCCCCCATTCGACCCCGATAAGAGGCGATTCGCCTAGGTGAGCGGCCAGCGAGTGTGCGAGCCGTGCGAGGAATTCTGCCAACCAGTTCTGCTACTGCACACACGGAGCCCTCAGGCTTGTGCCGGAGACTTTGAGCTTTGCTAGGGCATGTTCTTTGGAAGTCATCCGGGCTAAAGCCGCCCGAGTGCGCGAGCGCAGCGGAGCTACAAAAAGGTGCTTTGCCAGGCAATAGCAACGTCACGCTATTCGCGGGTCTGAATCTTGGACGAGCGGATTCGGTTAGACGGGGTGTGGCCAGAGGTCCACTCGGGGGCAAGCCGAAGGCCAGCCCGGCCAGCAGCACCGCCTCAAGCCGCTCACTGTGACCGCCTCGAGCATCGTGGGCAGTGGAGCTACAAAAAGGTGCTTTGCCAGGCAATAGCAACGTCACGCTATTCGCGGGTCTGAATCTTGGACGAGCGGATTCGTTTGGACGGGGAGTGCTGCTAGCCGAGTTTCTGCTGAGTAGGTCAGCCACAAAGCAAAGCCGAGCACCGATGTCTAGCAGTGTTTTTCTTTGCGGGCCAGCCACGAAGCAAGTCCAACCACCGATCCCGCGCCAATTGCGTTCTCGTTCACATGATTCAGACCCGCGAATAGTGTGGCGTTGCTTTTCTGCTTTGCAGGCAAGCGAGAGAGCGGCGGATCATGTGACTTGCCTGCAGCATTGTTGTGTCGTAGCAAGGCATGCGACGCCACTCCGCGGGATGGGGCGCCGTAGCAAAAGGCCGAAAATGGACGACCCAACACAGTATATCTTCGTGGAGATATCGCCTCGTATAGTGTCTGAGTATTGCAGCAAGGTGCGCGAGCGACTGGGCTTGTCGCCCGAGCGGCTCACGCAGCTTAGCAGCTGCCTGAGCTGTGGCAAGATGCATGGCCTCTACAGAGGGCCCCAGGATGAGACGGAGTTTCGACGACTGGGCATGTGCGAGGCATGCAGACACATTTTGGAAGACCCATCGATTAGCGTGTATGTGAAGTGGACGCAATGCGCAAGCCTGACATACTCTGGACTACAGATGGCCGAGCGGCTGGTTATTTTGAGCCAGGTGCGAGGCGCGACGCACGGCAACGCTGCCCAGCTGGCCGACATGGTGCGCGTGTCGACAGGACAGCGTGAGTTGCTGGAGCCTTTCGTTGGACACAGGCCAGACCCCAGTAATTGGCAGTGATGGCTTCCTGATTTAGCGGAGTACGAAGCGTGCAGAGTTTGAAGCGTGGAAAAGAGTGAGAGGGCCTTGCGTCATGCGAATGCGAATCAGGGGCAGGCCTATTGAGAGTGACATGGCGCATGTAAAATCCTTTTGTTCGTTCGTGGCTAGAATTTTTGTGGCTCAAAGCATGGAGGAAGCATTTGCAGCCAAGTATGTGCTCGCGCTGTCCGACAGCACCGGCAACGGATATGCTGAGTACGGCTCCAATGTGGTGAAGATGTCGTCCAGCGAAACAAAGCATGTGGTGATTCTCGGCCTTGGCGCGAGTTTAATTCATGCCTCCAAAGGCCACAGGCATATGTCTATCTTGAAGAAGCTTCTCTGCACCTGGGCTGGCATCGCCGACTCGTACTACGAGATGAAAGCTGAGCGTGGTCCCTGCGCGTGACGCTGTGCGTGTCGACCAAGAGGGCAAGTTTACCCCTTTACATCAGGCGCGATGCGCCTGGCGAGTGAAAGAGTCCAGCTCCACCATCAGGTCCATGGAGAAAGCCTGGTTTGAGAAGGACGGCATGCCTTTGTTCACCCCGCGCGGCATCGGCAGTGGCTTGCACTTCTGGGGATCCATGGAGCGCAAAAAGGAGATTTTCAACGACCTGATGGAGCGAGTGGCCCGAGACTGCGAGCCCGCGTCTGCGGAGCTTTACATCCTCGTGTGCGCGGGGTGGAACTCGGTGCCAGGCCCGTGTGTGGATGCTGGCGCGGCTGACAGGCCAGGCTGCGCGCGGAGCAGCAGCTATTGACGTTGCTGCAGACAGAGGCAGTGACATTTCGGGGTGTGCTGCAGATGTGTTATCTGTGGTCGGATGTGCCGCTGACTGCCAACCTATGGTCGCAGCTCGCGTGCTGCTCCTCTCCGCTTTGGTGGCTTTCGAGGCGCGTGATCCAAGACTGCGGCTGCTCGGCGGAGATCTTCTGCCCTGGATTCTACCGGGAGTTCGCAGGCGAGGAAGAGCAGTGGCAGTTCCTGCAGTGGAGGCTTCCCATCTCCAGCCTCAGAGCAGCCCGCAAGGAGCCGGGTGCGATCGCTGCGCTGTGGCGATACATGGAGTTGTACCGCAGCGGGGGAGTTTACGTGTCTGGCAGCCAGAGCCTTGGAGTAGAGCTGGGTCTTTGGCTCCAGGACAAGCAGCGCGAGCTCGGGATTCAGGTGCAATGGGCCTGCTGGGAGCGAGCAATAGGAGAGAAATTCGAGGACTGGGGTGCTGCCGCAGGCGGCGTGTGCAATCCGCCCTTCCTGCTGCCCTCGTCGTCAACGAATCAGCCCCTCTTCCAGGCAGAGGGGCTGATAGTGTGTGCCCCGCGCCACCCATTGATGGCCGAGCTGGCACACCACGTGATCCACCCGGCGACGTCAGGAGCTGGCATCGGGCGCAGCCTCCGCGAGCGCTTGCAGGATGAGATTTGCAGGTTTGACCCCGAGAGGCTGAGCCCAGGCTGGCACATCAGCAAGGCGTACGGCTACGTCTACCTCGTGGACTTGGCGGAGTTTCGCAGCCATGGCTTCGCAACCACTACTTGGCGGTCAGCAGAGTCGCCCGCAGCTGGCGCAGGGTTGGCCAGATGGACCCAGCTCAGGTTTCCCTGCATGTCGTCGCAGGAGTCTCAGGACGAAGTCCGGAGAGAGGCTTAGTCCGGAGAGAGGCTTAGGAAGTCGTGTCCGGACGAAGTCCGGAGAGTGGCCTAGGACGCAGAGCGGAATTGAGCCAAGCAGACTGCTCGCTCGCAGTTCGCGAGATTGGAATTGAGCATCAGCACCTTTAGCCAGAGAGTCATGCTTGTGAGATTAAGGAAGAAAAACAGGCTTGCAGTGCGCGTGTGTCATTTGTTTGTCTTGCTTTGGTGCAGTAGGCTTGGCATCCTCGACTTCCTGAGTTATGGACTGCGTGGGTTGGCTCAGCCATTTATAGAGTGACATGGCGCATGTAAAATCTTTTGTTCGTTCGTGGCCAGGATTTTTGTGGCTCAAAGCATGGAGGAAGCTTTTGCAACCAAGTATGTGCTCGCGCTGTCCGACAGCACCGGCAACGGATACGCTGAGTACGGCTCCAATGTGGTCAAGATGTCGTCCAGCGAAACAAAGCATGTGGTGATTCTCGGCCTTGGCGCGAGTTTGATTCATGCCTCCAAAGGCAACAGGCACATGTCGATCTTGAAGAAGCTCCTCTGCACCTGGGCTGGCATCGCCGACTCGTACTACGAGATGAAATGCCGTGATCAGCTCTTGCGCAAGCGCGTTGGGCTGAGCGTGGTCCCTGCGCGCGAAGCTGTGCGTGTCGACCAAGAGGGCAAGTTCACCCCTTTACATCAGGCCCGATGCGACTGGCGAGTGAAAGAGTCCAGCTCCACCATCAGGTCCATGGAGAACGCCTGGTTTGAGAAGGACGGCATGCCTTTGTTCACCCCGCTCGGCATCGGCAGTGGCTTGCACTTCTGGGGACCCATGGAGCGCAAAAAGGAGATTTTCAACGACCTGACGGAGCGAGTGGCCCGAGACTGCGAGCCCGCGTCCGCGGAGCTTTACATCCTCGTGTGCGCGGGGTGGAACTTGGTGCCAGGCCCGTGTGTGGATGCTGAGAAAACTTACAGAAAGATGGCCAGGCTGCACGCGGAGCAGCATCTATTGAAGTTGCTGCAGACAGAGGCAGTGACATTTCGGGATGTGCTGCAGATGTGTTATCTGTGGTCGGATGTGCCGCTGACTGCCAACCTATGGTCGCAGCTCGCGTGCTGCTGCTCTCCGCTTTGGTGGCTTTCGAGGCGCGTGATCCAAGAGTGCGGCTGCTCGGCGGAGATCTTCTGCCCTGGATTCGTCCGGCAGTTCGCAGGCGAGGTAGAGCAGCTGCAGTTCCTGCAGTGGAGGCTTCCCATCTCCAGCATCGAAGCAGCACTGGAGGAGCCGCACTCGATCGCTGCGCTGTGGCGATACATGGAGTTGTACCGCAGCGGGGGAGTTTACGTGTCTGGCAGGCAGAGCCTTGGAGTAGAGCTGGGTCTTTGGCTCCGAGACAAGCAGCACGAGCTCGGG